CAGAGAGGAAGGGAGAGGAAGAGAGAGATAGCAATATCAATGATGAGAGAGAATCATTGATTGGCTGCCTCCTGCACACCCCCTACTGGAGGTTGAGCCCACAACCCAGGCATGTACCCTTGACCAGAATTGAAATCCGGGACCCTTCAGTCCGAAGGCGGACGGTCTATCCACTGAGCCAAACCGGCTCGGGCAGGAAGTCGTTTTAAAAGGCAGCAGGAGCCTCGCAGCTTGTTCTGGACCCAGACTCCAAGAGCAGGTCACTTTCCTTTCCAGTCAGGGAAGGAGTTTGGGTTTTACAAGAAACCCACTCTTGGTGTGGGGAGCTCAGGCCCGAGGGGCTGAGCTGCCCTGCCTTCCTTGGGCCTCCCCCTGCCCTCAGTGATGCCCACCCCTGAGGACCAGTGGCTCAGGCTCTAGTCCAGAAGGTTCTCTGGGTCTGAGGGTCATAGGGGCTGCTGGACAACTATTTAACATAGAAATCCACAGTGCAAGGTGCAGAGCTGATGGCACAGAATGTGCCACGCAGATGCTGCCTAGAATATTCTAGAATACCACCTGTCTCCCTTCCCTTCCACCTCCCCCTTCTCTGCCATCTCTTTGCCCCACACCTATTTCTATCTCTTCTGTCACAACTGCCCCCGACCTTCATCCACTCCACTCATCCTTCTTTCTTCCTTCACCTTTTCTTCCTTTCTCTTTCTTTTCTCTGTGCCTCTCCTCTTTTTTTCATTTGTTCTTAACTTCTCTCCTCTCTCCATTCTCTTTCTCCCTCTCCATTTCCCTTCCTCTCCTCACCTGACCTGACTTATGTTGGTTAGGAGACGAGACCCTTTGTTTGATGCCAGCTCCCTTTCACCGTGAACAAAGACAGGCATGGTGGTGGCAGCGGCTCCCCAGGCCAACCACCCAACTGGGCTGGGTGTTTTACACATGCTCAGAGAGGCACGTGTGTGTGTGTGTGTGTGTGTGTGTGTGTGTGTGTGTGTGTGTGACTTCCACTTTCCAGAGGAGTTACATTGTCACCCAAGGCCACATGACTGGCAAAATGTGGAATTGAACCAGCTCGGAACAGATTCACCACAAGACCAAATGCCACTTGTGATCAAAGGTTACCTCCACCGTGGGGAGGAAAAGAGATCTCTCTCCTTGAGAAGCTACATCGCCTGCCTCCCTGTCCTCCTGGTGCCAAGGCCATCCTTCCCCAGAGCATCCCACGCCCAGCCAGGAGTGGACACGCTTGCTGCTGTGAGCTCCACTCCTGCAGTCTCAGCTCTGTCCCTACTGAAAGCAAGGGTTCAGTGAAGTTAGTTTAATCTTTTCCACCCAGCTCCGATTTTTCATGAGTTTGCAAAGGTGGAGTGAGAATGTCAGGTTTTTCTTCTTCCTGACCGAAATGGGGCTGTCATTAGGCCACGGGGCAAGGTGTGGTCCCACTTCTCCAGGGCGCTCTGCAGAGAATGAGGTGCAGGGGCGCTGGCTTTCACAGAAAGAGGGCAGCTCGGTGAGAAGAGCTAAGGTAATTAACATAAGAAAGTGATGAGAGCCTTTGGTGCCGCACTTGGCAATGTTTCAGGCCAGATTCATATTTTGGGAGCCTTGTTTTATTGGTGGCTCTGTGCAGACTCAGGTGTAAGGAATGAGTTGTTTAGAAACTGTGGCTGAGCTCAGAAAAGAGTGTGAGGTTTTGTCTCCACATGAAAAGAGGAACTCGAGTTAAAAGAAGCAGTGATCCTGCTGAAGCGCCACCGGAGCTGGGTGTGGACGAAAGGGCCACGTGCGAGCCTGACAAGCTCAGGGAAGGCCTGCATGGCGGGTTTGCAAACTCCCTAAAGTAACCGCAAAGAATGGTCTGGAATTAAACTTTCAAAAGCAGTTATGGTCGGTAGTTACGTCCTAGGCTGGTCTCTTCTCTGACATGGTCAACCTTTACCTTAACTGAGCGTATCTGTCTTTTTGCATCTATGATAACATATCCTTGAAATGTCTGGGTAACCTGTAACTTCCCTTTTTCCAGACCCCTTGGGGCACAACCTAATGTGCTTAGGTGCCAGGACAGATATCACACATTCCTTCATATTATTATCATGTTAATCGTTGATTGTTAACTATTCTATCATTTTACTCTTTATCCAATCCCAGGGGTTCTCCCCTGTTTGCTTTTTCCCACCTCTCTAATCTATCACCTGTGGATTTCAAGTAACCCACCTACGTCCCTTCCTTTGATTGCAATGTATATTATAAAAAACCACCATTCTCTGGAGCATTATCCCAATCCGTTGAGATACTGCTTCCAGCCAATTGTTGACAATTCTTTACAGGTTTGAACGTTTTTACATTAACCTGGGACTCCGCCTAATTGCATGCCTGCCTTAATTCGCTCCCAGTAGGCATACTCCTATTATTTTACTCCTATTATTTTAGTAAGATGCTGTCTTTTTACAGGAAGGTGTATCTAAGGGGTGGGCACATCTAGGCCCCACAGCTTCCTGTCCCCTGGTTAGTCGGTGTTGGCCACCAACGAGGTCACAGGCCCAGTGCTGGGGTCAGGAGCAGACACATCCAGCAGGGCCACAGCTCTCCTAGGAAACCTGCCTGCCTGTCACTCTGGCTGAGTGTGGGCCTTGGGTAACCATGCTCTGCCCCCACAACTCTGCCCCTATCTCAGAGTGGTGGGTGGGCACCTGCTTCAAGATGACTGAGTTTTGCATAGACCTGTGGCCCCTGAGTGGCCCACACAGAAAACCCAACCACATTCCCTCTTGGGACGGGGAACTGAGAAGTGAGCCTCTTAGTGGGCCAAGAGCAAACTCACAGAGAAGGGCTGAGTTGCGGCAGGTAGCACGTGGGATATGGGGCCCCAAACCCTTCTGGTCCCAGGCCTTCTCCCTCCTTGCCCTGTGCATTCCCACAAAGGCTGCCCACCCCTTACATGAGTTAGCCAAACCGAGTCTCTCTTCTTTGAGACCCCCAAGACCTAGTGAGGCCCCCAGCAATTCACAGGAACAGATGACGCGTGGAGAGGAGAGGAAACAGATGCTAGACAGGGTCTCACATTTACAAGCCCTGGGTGCAAAGTCACGCCTTTTCCAGCTTAAGGCCTAGTCATAATCAAAGTCTTCTTCACTTTGAAGGAATAGAACAAACCACAAGGGGAAAAAGATCAAACACATCAACCAACTTTTAACTTAAGAGAGTTTAGACTCCTTTCAGTAAACCACCTGTCAAGAATGCCACCCAGCCAAGAAGCCATCGAGGCCACTGCCTGCCTCACGCAGCCCTCCCCTTGGTGGCCACGTTCCTGGCAGGTGAAGCCCATATGGGAGATGACTGTTTTAATGCCACCAAGTACTTAAAAGAACTGTCATGTGCCAGGTGTGCTAACATTTGTTCCTGGGGAGCAGGACAAGACATATGGCTGTCCCAGACTTGCTAAGACAGTGGTCGGTAAACTCATTAGAGCCAAATATCAACAGTACAACGATTGACATTTCTTTTGAGAGCCAAGTTTTTTAAACTTTAACTTCTTCTAACACCACTTCTTCAAAATAGACTCGCCCAGGCTGTGGTATTTTGTGGAAGAGCCACACTCAAGGGGCTAAAGAGCTGCATATGGCTCGCAAGCCGCAGTTTGCCAACTGTGGTGCTAAGGCATTGACATGGGTACTCTTCAGACACTGGTGCAGATGGGAGGGATGCGGAAGCCAGAAGCAATGCTTAGCCTGACCTCGATCAGGTGGAGCAATTCTGCTTGAGCCCAAACTTGCATCTCCCATGGAAACTGGGCAGCAAACAGCTTCTAACTCCTGAGAATACAGCTTCATGACTACCTGTGTGGCTCAAGCATGACCCTCCAGGTGTCATTCTCTTCCCAAATGGCTCATTGATCCAAGTGATTCCTTTGATCCACAGAGCTAGCCTCCCTAGAGGCATTCTATTCAACACAGCTTCCTCCTGGTGACACATTTCCAGTGACTTGTGCTCCAGGGCCCTGCCCTCGAATCCAGCTCTTTTGTATTACTGCATCTTAGTCTTACACAAAACGCACCACCCCCTTCCCGTTCTGGAATCAGGGATTGCTTCCCTTCCACTTCCATTTTCTTTTTAACTAAACCCCGCAGACCCTGTCACTGCTCCTCCATGACATGGTGTCCCAACCCTTGACTATCGTGGCTGCTCTGGCTGCGATGAGGGTGCTCTTGGCCTTAATCCAATGAGCCAGGAGTGACCCCTCCGCCCCCACTGAGGACAACTGAGAGTGTCTCCTCCTTCATTCTGCCCACCCCCTGCTCTCTTCTATGCAGCCAGATAAAAATAGCTCCCCTGGCCTCCACATCATTCAGCTATCATGCACTGTGGTCACACAAAGCCCTGCCATTTGTCACATAAACTGAGAGTAGGGTGGTCCTCCAGACGTGGGCTGGCGCACGCTGGTTTTTCTCTAACATCTCACAGCCAGTTTTATACACTCGGACTTTACATGGTGCAGCTGATGCCATGAGCACCCGCCAGCCTTTGACAGGACAGACCTCTATGAATGGAAAGTACTTTTTCAGATACTGTTTCCTCTGGACAACCTTTTAGCCCCTTGGAAAGGTTGGTCGAATCTCCTGCAAGTTCCCCTCCTTTTCTCCTTCCTGGTCCACTGACTCTCACTCCTTTCAGCCACAGGAAGAAAATAACGCATGAGCCACCGTGGCTAACTTCGCTTCACTTCTGGGTCCTTCTTTACCATTGTTTCCCCTTCACATCCATGAATGCAAATAATGTCCATTATACCTGCTCCATCATGTCACAGAGCAGGGTCACAGTTCCCTGCTAAGCCACTCCCACCCATGGAGTTCTAGGAGAAAGGCAGGCTCAGCCAGGTCTTGCTGTCCTCCAGCCCACATCTGGAGGACCACCCTACTCTCAGGGCCCCTTCTCTTCTTCCTCTTGTTCACTCTTTCTCCAACATAGGCTCTAATCAGCTCAGATATCTAGGTTTATTACGGGCTTACCTGAACAGTGAATTTATCATCTTCATTGGGCAGAATCCTGTAAGTGTAAACGCAATTCCGATACCTGAAATAGACCAAAGACCTTATTAGAACCCACGCAGGAACATTTTTCTGGCACCTGAAATGACGAGAATTCCTGACATGGCTCGAGAAGTCTGAGTGTGAAGTCTCTGAACTTTGGAGCTGACTGCTCTGAGGGGCTATCAGCCTAACGTACTGTGGAGCATCAGGAAAAGGCGGGGGGGGGGGGAGGGAGGGGTTCTTTGGGGCATGATTTACGTTGGTGCCTGACAGCTCTGCGGTCTGAGCAAAAGCCATCCACAAGCTGGAAGGGTTTCCACAACCTTGGAGTTGTCCTGTTGGCCAAAGAACAGAGCCAGACGGGGCATTTCAAATGTAAATATGATTCCATGGGACTCAACAAGGTGGGGACATGCTGAATGGGTGTCAGACACAGCCACAGAGAGGACCACACTGGCCAAGGAGAGGCTCTGGGTGGAGCACCTCGCTCCTCCTGAACTACCTTCCCACCCTGTGGCCTCTCCCTGGACACTTGGCCCCATAAGTTCACACTCTCAAAGGTCAGCCACCATCTCATCAGAGACCTGGGTTTTCCCCAACAGCTGGTGAGTGAGTTTTAGGATTGCTTCTAATGAGGAAGAGCCACAGGCCCTGGATTCTCTTCTCTTTCTAGAAGCTCCACTATACTTTTGTTCAGGAGTCCCCAACGTGAGGGGGAAGACAAAGAGGAGGAGGAGGGGGAAGAGGAAGAAGAAGAAGAGAAGATACTTTTTACTTTTCTAACACCTTTGAGAGTAAGGGAAGTTGTCAAGTCTGAGCACCTTGGGAAAAGAACACATTGAGGGGAGGTTGAGTTAGGCTCAGAGGCATAGGGAGTTTCAGGGAACGCTACTTGGGTTTTACACTCTTAGTTGAAACTGCTGGTCTGTTCTCACCACCATAATCTTCCCCCATTTCCTCCACTTGAGACCCTCATGAACCTTGAATCACTCACTCCTGCTGAACCTCTAGGTGGGGACCACACTCCAACTCACAGATGCTCATTTTATTTCTGGGATCAAGACAATGAATAAATACCTCATTACAAAAATTTCATTTATTTAGCCTTGCTTGTGTGGCTGGCACTTCACTAAGCATTCATGTGTGTTACTGTCTAACTAGATTTTTAAAAATTATACACTCATCTTAAAATTTTTAAGACCATATAGGAAGATATGAAATAAAAAACAAACGTCTCCTTCTCCTGTGAGTCCAGCTTCTTAGATTTACTGCCCCCTTTTGTAAATCATTCCAGAACTTTTAAACATGCACACAAATTTTTATTTTTATTTTTTTAATTTTTAAACTAGAGGCCTGGTGCACAAAATTCATGCATGGGGGGGGGTGTGTCCCCTCAGCCCAGCCTGCACCCTCTCCAATCTGGGACATCCCTCTCACAATCCGGGCCTGCTGGCTCCTAACTGCACCCCCCCCCCCCCAGCCTGATCATTCCTAACCGCCTCTGTCTGCCAGCCTGATCGCACCTAACTGCCACCCATCCCCACCCAACCTGGTTACCCCAGGCAGCCTCCTGTTTAGTCATTTGGTTGTCCCTCACTAACCCCCCTGCTGGCCTGGTCACCCTATGCAGCCTGCAGTTCGGTTGTCTGTCTGGTTGTTTTGCTTGTGATGTCCCCTGACTTTTTATATATTAGAATATGTTTTTATTGATTTCAGAGTTAGAAGAGAGAGGGAGAGAGAGAAACATCAATGATGAGAAACATCATTGACTGGATCCCTCCAGCATGCCCCACACTAGGATGGAGGCCACAACCTGGACATATTCCCTGACTGGAATTTGAACTGTGACCTCCTGGTTCATAGGTCAAAGCTCAATCACTGAGCTATACCAGCTGGACTAGATGCATGTCTTTTTAAATGCAAATAATATCATACTATATTTGTTGTTCAGAAGTGTGTTATTTTCTCCATGGGGCTAAACACTGAGAATATGTTTTACTTATTTTAGAGAGAAGGGAATGGAAAGAGAGAGAGAGAGAGAGAGAGAGAGAGAGAGAGAGAGAGAGAGAGAGAGAGAGAGACGAGGGAAACAGTGATGAGCTGCTTCCCATGTGTGCCCTGACCAGGAATTGAACCCACAACCTTTCTGTGCATGAGTCGACACTCCAACCAACTGAGCCACACTGGCCAGTGCCAAAAATGTGCCTTTTTTCACCAAAAAAAACAACAACAACACACATCTTAGAAGTCTTCCCAAGTTATGTTCCACCTTTTGGCTGCACAATCATTTACTTGACTAGACCATGCTTTTTCTTATTGTAAATAACGCTGCAGCAAACATCTCTTCCTATACCTTGTGTATATTGGCGAGTTCAAAGTTCAGTTTCCCCATCAATAAAGCAGGGTCAGCAATAACACTGTATCTACTCTGTTGTCGTGTAGACTAAGTGAATTCATATATGAAAAGCATTTAGAATAGCTCTCCCACCTCCTTCCTGACCACACTAAATGCCCCACGCTGAGATTCCTGGCGATCCTGAACCAATCTCTGGAAGGAACAGCTGAGCTAAACTAAAGGACAGGGCTCTCCTCTGACAGAAACTAGCAATTGCCTCCCGATGAGGTGGTGTCACTTTTTGTTCTGCTAACCGGATATGAAAGTGTCTATTTCCCCACACCCTGCCAACTGACTGTTATCAGGCATTTCAATCTTTGCAAATCTGAGAGGTGATAGCTTGCTTTATGAGAAAGGTTGAATATGTTCTCATATGTTTTGCTATTGGTATTTCTTTTTTTAATGTTTTGCTATTGGTATGTCTGCCCCCAGCCCCTCACCTCCAGCCTCCACTCCTCCACAGAACCTGCCAGACAAATGCCAAATAGCTGGAATCCTACTGTGCTTTTATAGTTTACCTCTAATCCTAATGACACTTCCTCCTGGGAACATGCAAATGAGGACAGGACAAGAACCGCCTCTTATGTGGCTGAGGGCGGCTAATTTGTGGAAGAGGTTGACCAGGGCCAAAACATTAGCTTGTAGGCAGAAAGAAAAAATATAGTCACAGGAGAGGGACAGAGACAGCTGCACAGAACAGGAAGGCCCTTTATGACTTTTTCAAAGATGTTCCAGACACTGAAACAAAGAAGCAGCTCCACATGACTTAAATAGATCAAAAGCAAGTACAAGAGGAAGAGGGATACTTTGCTCTGGACAGTTACATCTCAGCCTCCAGTGCCTGGGGCCAGATACCGTGCTCCTGGGACCAAATCAGTTTAGATCTTCAAGGGAAACTGACGCACATGCACACAACCCACATGGGAGCAGTCATTCCAGACCCTATACCATGGGGTGCTGGGGGCTCACAGCGAGTGGAGGGGGCACTTCCCAGCTTACCCACCAGCAGCTGCATTTCAGTCTGGTCCTATATGCATAGATGTGTGTACACACAGAATGCACATGGAGATATATATATATATCGTGTATATATATATATATATATATATATACATACATATATATATATATATATATATATATATATATATATATACACGATATATATATATATAGTCACACTCAGAGAGAATCTTACATGGAAAATGTTTACAGTGAAAATTCTACAACCAAATCATCTTTTACAACTACTGTCTAGAACATAATCCAGACAACATACTGATTGCTGTCTGGAAAAATCAGTTGTGAAGGCTGAGCAACGTGAGAGGAGGAAATCTAATTAGAAGGGTAACCTAGAGTCCCAGAGTCAGCATTAAACACCACAAGAGGTATTATTTGTGATACATAATTGAACCCAAACCATTTGGGTCCTGATACTTGGGAATACAATGCTTTTCTAATTAATGGGCAGGGGAATGTGCAATGAGCAGGCCAGGTAGGAAGGGCCTGGTCTGCCGATGCTTGTGCTTGCCATCTCCCACGGGGCCCAGGCCCACTGCAGCCACCAGCACTGACCTCACCTCTCACACACTGCCCTCCTTCTGGCTTCCTGGGAGCCTAGGACTTTAATCCTCAGCACCTCCCTCCCAAATCGGAACTAGTCACTCTGGAGATAGCCTTCATTCCGTCTCACTTTATCTTCACTATCTGGTTTCATTTGGTGGTTATTCCCAGCATCCATGCCCCAGACCACTTTCTCCTTCAGGCTTCCAGGCACTGAGTCCCGGTCCCAGCAGCCACTGACACAGTGTGTCACTCACATCCTCTTCCTGCCTCATCTCTTTGAGCACCTCCTCTGGGGAGGCCCACAAGACAGCTTAGTGACTCCCTGCGGCTCCTTCGGGCCTCCAGGAAGTTACAGAAGTGACATGCTGCCTCCTTTCTCCCCCTTCTTTCTGTGAATTCTCTTCACAGCTGGGCCTTGTACTCCTGAGATGTCACTATCCACATTATAGCTTATAAACAAGAGCAGCTGGTGTTTAGTAGGTGCTTGCCATGTGCTGGCCTTAGGTTATACATATTACCCACATTCCCCCATTTTATCCTCTGAGTAATCCAATGACCAGAACAGAAAGACATATAGCCCAATTTTTGAAATGGGCAAAGGATACGAATAGACATTTCTTCAAAGAAGAAATAAGAAACAAATGAAAACATGTGAAAAGCAGCTCCACCTGGTTAATCATCAGGGAAATGCAAATCAAAGTCACAGTGAGATGTCACTTCACTCCCACGAGGATGGTTATTATAAAAAAGATAATAGTAAGTGTTGGTGATGATGTGGAGAGATTGGAACTCTCCTCCACTGCTGGTGGGGATGTAAAATGATGCAGTTGCTATAGAAACAGCATGGCAGGTCCTTAGGAAGTTAAACAGAGAATTCCCATAACCCAGCAGTTCACCCAAAACAATAAAAATCATTTATGCACACAAAAACTTGTATATCAAAGTTCACTGTAGCGTTATTCACAGTATCCAAGAAGTAGAAACAACATAATGTCCATCAACTGGGAAACAGGTAAGTATCTACACAACAGGCTATTACCTACACTAATACAAGAGTAAGATGCAAATTGACTTTACCTTTG